CTTATGTTGTCCACATCGAGGTGTTTAGTTTGTCTGAAATTTGATTTAGTATTTATAAGAAAGCAGTTCATGATCTGTTCTAGCCTATATCCTGTCTACAAATATTGAACCTATTTCAGAAGAGTGACCTTTGCCCTGCTGATATCCTCACGAATTACTGTTCAGTGTGGCATGCCACAGTGTACCCATACAACTTAGGGCCAAGACAGTATGTAGACGGTATTGGCTGGTATGTACGTCAGCCCCCACATGACTTCAGCACTGGGACCCAGAAGATCAATACTAATGCAACATTAATGATCAGTCAGACGCATGAAAATCCACCAAACTTCAGCTGCGATGGTGGGTGGTGGGTATGTATGTTCTCTCATCACTGTAGAAAGTTCAAACGTTTTCCGTACAACAGTCCCTACTAGTATGTGCACAGTTGTAAACAGTAAAGAGAGAAAGAAAAAACTCAGTAGTAGCCAGTCTTTGATTATACTGCTGCAGGGTCCAAGACATGGGTGAGGGTGGGCAGCAGTTCTGTATTCAGACTAGTGTGAGAATCTACTATAGGTATGTGTGTAATGGTGTTACTGTCCTCATCAACATTACCTCTAGAGGTAACAAGTACTTCCTGATTATCAGATGTTATATATTATGTTTATTATAATGTGGAATAGGTGATCAAAATAATACCAAAATTTCATTTTGAAGACTGCATGTACAAGGTATTTATTGGGAGTGAAAGATTAGTTAATATTTTTTTTACTATAACAGTTTATAGCAGATTTCTGAGGTGCATTAATTCTGCCAACAATATTGTGGGCTGGACACAGCTCACTGAATGATAGCATCCCAGGCAAAAGAAGAATGGGTCTGTGGTGACCTCTAGCTCATGATGTATGAGTTTTGCCTGCTGAAGGATTATGTATATAATTACAGTGACATCAGTCTGACGTAGAGTGAATCAGTATTCCCCTGGGAGCTGTATGTCATTTTTAAGCAAATGCAGTAGCTTGATGACTGTAAAACCGAGGAAGACTTCACTTTTGTATGCTAGTGTGCTTGAAGCTGCATCAGCTGAGTGAGATAGTTGAGATGGTTTCTCAGATGTTTATACGTTGATCCCTTCCATATGTTCCAGGACTCCTGACTGTTACTCTGCAGTAGTGGTACTATAAATAGAATGGGCACATGTCTAGGAAGATCTAATATAAAATAGATAAATATGTGTTCCTTTTAATTACCTTCGCCAAGAAGGTTATGTTTTCAGGGGCGTTCGTGTATGTGTGTGTGTGTGTGTGTGTCTGTCTGTCTGTCTGTCTGTCTGTAAACACGATAACTTGAGAAGGCCTGGATGGATTGTCTTGATACTTGGTAGGTGGGTAGGTCTTGATGAGACCTCAAAATGATTAGATTTTGGACCCCCTAGCGGCTTGTTATGGTACTGCAGCTGAACTTCCGGTTTTGATATCTCATGATCTAGACATGCTATGGTGATGAAATTTAGATGGTAGGTAGCTCTTGTGCTGGGAAAAGAGTGACGTGAGTTTAGGCCCCCTAGCGGCTTGCTCTGGAACTGCAGGGATAAATTCTTGAAAATATTCAAAAGGGGATAACTCAAGAACCGGTTGACGGATCGTCGTGATTTTTGGTATGTAGGTAGCTTACGTGATGCTTATATAATTATGTGACAATTAT